CTATTCCTATTCCTATTCCTATTCCTATTGCTATTCCTATTCCTATTCCTATTCCTATTCCTATTCCTATTCCTATTCCTATTCCTATTCCTATTCCTATTCCTATTCCTATTCCTATTCCTATTCCTATTCCTATTCCTATTCCGATTCCGATTCCGATTCCTATTCCTATTCCTATTCCTATTCCTATTCCTATTCCTATTCCTATTCCGATTCCGATTCTTATTCCTATTCCTATGCCTATGCCTATGCCTATGCCTATTCCTATTCCTATTCCTATTCCTATTCCTATTCCTATTCCTATTCCTATTCCTATTCCTATTCCTATTCCTATTCCTATTCCTATTCCTATTCCTATTCCTATTCCTATTCCTATTCCTATTCCTATTCCTATTCCTATTCCTATTCCTATTGCCTATTCCTATTCCTATTATTCCTATTCCTATTCCTATTTCCTATTCCTATTCCTATTCCTATTCCTATTTCCTATTCCTATTCCTATTCCCTATTCCTATTCCTATTCCTATTCCTATTCCTATTACCTATTCCTATTCCCTATTCCTATTCCGATTCCTATTCCTATTCCTATTCCTATTCCTATTCCCGGGATTCTTGCCTATTCCATTCCTATTCGCTATTCCTATTTTCCTATCTATGACTATTACTATTCTATTCATATTCCTACTCCTATTCCTATTTCCTTATTCCTATTCCCTATTCCTATGCCTATTCCTATTCCTATTCCTATTCCATTCCTATTCCTATTCATAGTCCTATTCCTATTCCTATTCCTATTCCTATTCCTATTCCTATTCCTATTCCTATTCCTATTCCTATTCCTATTCCTATTCCCATTCCCATTCCCATTCCCATTCCTATTCCTATTCCTATTCCTATTCCTATTCCGATTCCGATTCCGATTCCTATTCCTATTCCTATTCCTATTCCCATTCCTATTCCCATTCCTATTCCCATTCCCATTCCTATTCCTATTCCTATTCCTATTCCTATTCCTATTCCTATTCCTATTCCTATTCCTATTCCTATTCCTATTCCTATTCCGATTCCTATTCCTATTCCTATTCCTATTCCCATTCCTGTTCATATTCCGAATCCTATTCCTATTCCTACTCCTAGTCCTAGTCCTAGTCCTAGTCCTAGTCCTAGTCCTAGTCCTAGTCCTAGTCCTAGTCCTCGTCCTCGTCCTCGTCCTCGTCCTGGTCCTGGTCCTGGTCCTGGTCCTGGTCCTGGTCCTGGTCCTCGTCTTCGTCCTCGTCCTCGTCCTAGTCCTAGTCCTATTCCTATTCCTATTCCGATTCCTATTCCTACTCCTATTCCTATTCCTATTCCCATTCCCATTCCCATTCCCATTCCCATTCCCATTCCCATTCCCATCCCCATTCCCATTCCCATTCCCATTCCCATTCCCATTCCCATTCCCATTCCCATTCCCATTCCCATTCCCATTCCCATTCCCATTCCCATTCCCATTCCCATTACCATTACCATTACCATTACCATTACCATTACCATTACCATTACCATTCCTATTCCTTTCCTATTTCCTATTCCTATTCCTATCCTATTCCTATTCCTATTCTATTCCATTCCTATTCCTTTCCATGCCCTATTCCTATTCCTATGCCTATTCCTATTCCTATTCCTATTCCTATTCCTATTGCCTATGTTCCTATTGCTATTTCCTATTCGCTATTTACTTTTCACTACCCTCTACCTAGTCCTAGTCCTCGTCCTAGTCCCTAGTCCTAGTCCTACTCCTAGTCCTATTCAATAGTCCTAGTCCTAGTCCAGTCCTAGTCCTAGTTCCTATCCCTAGGTCCTAGCCTAGTCCTAGTCCTAGTCCTAGTCCTAGTCCTATTCCTATTCTATTTCCTATTCCTATTCCTTTACTATTCCTATTCTTATTCCCCATATCCTATTCCTATTCCTATCTATTCCTATTCCTATTCCTATTCCTATTCCTATTCCTATTCCTATTCCTATTCCTATTCCTATTCCTATTCCTATTCCTATTCCTCTTCCTATTCCTATTCCTATTCCTATTCCTATTCCTATTCCTATTCCTATTCCTATTCCTATTCCTATTCCTATTCCTATTCCTATTCCTATTCCTATTCCTATTCCTATTCCTATTCCTATTCCTATTCCTATTCCTATTCCTATCCCTATTCCTATTCCTATTCCTCTTCCTATTCCTATTCCTATTCCTATTCCTATTCCGGGTCCTGTTCCGATTCCGATTCCGATTCCGATTCCTATTCCTATTCCGATTCCGATTCCGATTCCGATTCCGATTCCGATTCCTATTCCTATTCCTATTCCTATTCTTATTCCCATTCCCATTCCTATTCCTATTCCTATTCCTATTCCTATTCCTATTCCTATTCCTATTCCTATTCCTATTCCTATTCCTATTCCTATTCCTATTCCTATTGCTATTACAATTCCAATTCCTATTTCCTATTCCTATTCCTATTCCTATTCCTATTCCTATTCCTATTCCTATTCCTATTCCTATTCCTATTCCTATTCCTATTCCTATTCCTATTCCTATTCCTATTCCTATTCCTATTCCTATTCTGCTCCCTTTCCCTATTCCTATTCCCTATTCCTATTCCCAATTCCATTCCTATTCCTATTCCTATTCCTATTCCTATTCCTATTCCTATTCCTATTCCTATTCCTATTCCTATTCCTATTCCTATTCCTATTCCTATTCCTATTCCTATTCCCGTATTCCTATTCCTTCCCATTCCTGTTCCCATTCCCATTCCTATTCCTATTCCTATTCCTTTTCCTGTTCCGAATTCCCATTCCTATTCCTATTCCTTTTCCTGTTCCGAATTCCCATTCCTATTCCTATTCCTTTTCCTGTTCCGAATTCCTATTCCTATTCCTATTCCTATTCCTATTCCTAGTCCTAGTCCTAGTCCTAGTCCTAGTCCTAGTCCTAGTCCTAGTCCTAGTTCTAGTCCTAGTCCTAGTCCTCTTCCGATTCCGATTCCGGTTCCGATTTCTATTCCTATTCCTATTCCTATTCCTATTCCTATTCCTATTCCTATTCCTATTCCTATTCCTATTCCTATTCCTATTCCCATTCCTGTTCCCATTACCATTCCTATGCCTATTCCTATTCCTTTTCCTGTTCCGAATTCCCATTCCTATTCCTATTCCTTTTCCTGTTCCGAATTCCTATTCCTATTCCTATTCCTATTCCTATTCCTATTCATATTCCTATTCCCATTCCCATTCCCATTCCCATTCCCATTCCCATTCCCATTCCCATTGCCATTCCTATTCCTATTCCTCTTCCTCTTCCTGTTCCGATTTCCTATTCCTATTCCTATTCCTATTCCTATTCCTATTCCTATTCCTATTCCTATTCCTATTCCTATTCCTATTCCTATTCCTATTCCTATTCCTATTCCTATTCCTAGTCCTAGTCCTAGTCCTAGTCCTAGTCCTAGTCCTAGTCCTAGTCCTAGTCCTAGTCCTAGTCCTAGTCCTATTCCTATTCCTATTCCTATTCCTATTCCTATTCCTATTCTTATTCCTACTCCCATTCCCATTCCCATTTTATTCGCTATTCCTATCCTATTTCCTATTCCTATTCCCTATTCCAATTCCTATGCCTATTCCTAGTCGAATTCCTATTCCTTTTTCCTATTCCTATTCCTATTCCTATTCCTATTCCTATTCTATTCCTATTCCTATTCCTATTCTCCTATTCCTATTCCTATTCCTATTCCTATTCCTATTCCCATTCCCATTCCTATTCCTATTCCTATTCCTATTCCTATTCCTATTCCTATTCCTATTCCTATTCCTATTCCTACTCCTATTCCTATTCCTATTCCTATTCCTATTCCTATTCCTATTCCTATTCCTATTCCTATTCCTATTCCTATTCCTATTCCTATTCCTATTCCTATTCCTATTCCTATTCCTATTCCTATTCCTATTCCTATTCCTATTTCTATTCCTATTCCTATTCCTATTCCTATTATTATTCCTATTCCTATTCCTGTTCCTGTTCCTGTTCCTGTTCCTATTCCTATTCCTATTCCTATTCCTATTCCTAATCCTGTTCCTGTTCCTGTTCCTGTTCCTGTTCCTATTCCTATTCCTATTCCTATTCCTATTCCTATTCCTATTCCTATTCCTATTCCTATTCCTATTCCTATTCCTATTCCTATTCCTATTCCTATTCCTATTCCTATTCCTATTCCTATTCCTATTTCTATTTATATTTCTATTTCTATTTCTATTCCTATTCCTATTCCTATTCCTATTCCTATTCCTATTCCTATTCCTCCTCCTCCTCCTCCTGATCCTCCTCCTTCTCCTTCTCCTCCTCTCCCCCCAGGTGGCCCTTCTCCTTCTCCTCCTCCTCCTCCTCCTCCTCCTCTTCCCCCAGGTGGCCCTCCTCCTCCTCCTCCCCTTTTCCATCGTGAGCTTGCCCCGGAGGAAGACTGGACTTTACTATAGTTTTGCGGGGGCACCTCTTTGCGCACAGGTGAAAATCGGGCCCAGGTGAAAACCGGGCCGTGACGATTCGCATGTTGTCCTCATAATCCCCACTTTTTTCTGAGCTTTTGCATTGCGACTCAAGACGTCAATTGCCAGCCACGCCAGTGCTTGTTACGCGTCAGCACGTCCGCGCTTGGATATGGTGCGCCAAGATATGCGACGGCATGCCGTGGCTCACCTGTGGTAGAGACGACGTCTCACGTGCGGCCTTCCAGTCCTCCTTCTCCTTCTCCTTCTCCTTCTCCTTCTCCTCCTCCAGGTGGGCCTCCTCCTTCTCCTCCTCCTCCTCCTCCTCCTCCTCCTCCTCTCATCCCCCCCAGGTGACCTCCTCCTCCTCCTCCTCCTCCTCCTCCTCTTTCGCCTCCTCCCCCTCGTTCGCCTCCTCCCCCTCCTCCTCGTTCGCCTCCTCCCCCCCCCTCCTCCACCGCCTCCTCCCCCCTCCTCCCGAGGACGGGCGCGTGGGGGAAGCAGCGCGCGGGCGCTCCGCCCCCGCTCCCGCAGATCCGGGGCCGCGAGGAGGCGACGGCCGCCAGGCCCCCGCCGGGCTTGCCCCAAATGTCGCGCGCCGCCGGCCTGCGGCCGCTGGGCGGCCGCTCGGCGGCCGCTCGGCGGCCCTCGCCGGCCCTCCGGCGGCCCTCGTCTGCCCTCCAGCGGCCCCCGGCGGCCTGCACTCGCACCAGACGCAGCAGACGACGCCGGCCGTAGATTGGACGCCTTTGGCGGCCTCGGTGGCCTGCCTCGGCTGTCTTGAGCGCTCGGGAGCGCTGTGAGCGATCGCGGCCTCGAGAACGCGTTCTTCTGTTTTTTGTTTTTACCTAACAGCGAAGACTGATAGGTTTCTAGTGGGATCAAAAGAGAGCAGCAGATCACTCCACAGGGGGGTCCGGGCAGGTGTTGGGAGTTGCCGGGCGGCAGGTGCCGGGCTCGTTTTTCACCAACAGTCACACACTTCGTGCTCTTCGCCTTCCCAGAACTCCATTCCCAGGCCACATTCTGAATACACGGATGCAACAGTCACACACAAAGTGCTCTTCGAGATCCCAGAACGCCATTCCCGGGCACAGTCTGGAGGGCCCGCGGGGACAGTCACACACTCGTGTTTTCGAGTTTCCCATAACTCCAGCATTCCATTCCCGGGCCACATTTCCTGGAGGGTCCGGATGTCAACTAGTCTACACACTTCGTGCTTTAGAGTTCCCAGAATCCCATGCAAGGGCACCATTTTGGAGGCCCGGAGCCAACTGTAGGCCACTTCGTGCTCTTCGAGTTCCCAGAACTCCATTCCCGGGCCACATTTTGAATGCCCGGAGCCAACTGTAGGCCACTTCGTGCTCTTCGAGTTCCCAGAAATCCATTCCCGGGCCACATTTTGAATGCCCGTAGCCAACTGTAGGCAACTTCGTGCTCTTCGACTTCCCAGAATTCCCATTCCTGGGCTACATTTTCAGCAAGGGCAAGAGCACGACGAGGAGGAGGACGAGCAAGACCAGGAGGACGAGGACGAGCAGGAGCAGGACGAGGAGCAGGAGGAGCAGGAGAAGAAGGACGAGCAGGAGGAGGAGGAGGACGAGCAGGAGGAGGAGGGCGACCAGGAGGAGGAGGACGACCAAGAAGAGGAGGAGGAGGAGGAGGAGGAGGGATGGGAGGTTAGTACCAGTAGGAGGAGGAGGAGGGAGGAGGAGGAGGAGGAGGGAGGAGGAAGAGGAGGAGGAGGAGGAGGGGGGACGAGGAGGAGGGGAGGGGAGGGGGGGGAGAGTCCAGGAGGAGGAGAACGAGGACCACCAGGAGGAGGAGGAGGAGGAGGAGGAGGAGGAGGAGGAGGAGGAGGAGAGAACACCAGGAGGAGGAGGACGAGCAAGACGAGGAGGACGAGAACGAGGACGACCAGGAAGAGGAGGAGGAGGAGGAGGAGGAGGGGAGGGGGAGGACTACCAGGAGGAGGAGGAGGAGGAGGAGGAGGAGGAAGAGGAGGAGGAGGACGAGGAGGAGGAGGAGGAGGAGGAGGACGAGGAGGAGGAGGGGGGGGGAGAGCACCAGGAGGAGGAGAACGAGGACCACCAGGAGGAGGAGGAGGAGGAGGAGGAGGAGGAGGAGGAGGAGAGAGCACCAGGAGGAGGAGGACGAGCAAGACGAGGAGGACGAGAACGAGGACGAGCAGGAGGAAGAGGAGGAGGAGGAGGAGGAGGAGGAGGAGGAGCAGGAGAAAGAGGAGGAGGAGGAGGAGGCAGGCTGAGGCTGAGGCTGTGACTGCGACTGCCGTTGCCGCTGCGACTGTCATCGCGAATGCGACTACGACTGCGAGAACAGCAGAATTCGACAACTGGATTTTCATCTGAATCTTAAGGGGAATGCTTTCAGATATGCTTCTACACATCGCTGTTAGGTTGCTTTGCCGGGATAATTTTTGCTTGTTTGTTTTTTGCTTTATCTTGTCGTTGGCATGCTTGTTCTTTTGTACGACGAGCGCTACACGCGCCTATCTACGACGAGAGGGGGCGGGCCCCCTAGAATAATACCGAAGCCCTACCTGACAGCACTTGGTACTCTACCACGTCTCAGCGTACCAATGTTTGGTGGCGGATAAGGAATTAGGATGGAGAGGGACGCTGAGGAGTGAACTATCTAATGGTGGCCTTCGGCCCATCCCGCCACCGTGCCTAGGCTGCGGGTCAGGGTTCTCATGGATGCTTCTCGGGGTCTCTTCGGCCTCTTGGGGGCAGTTTTGGGGTCTCTTGGGAGACTCTTGGAGGCCTCTTGGGGTCTTCTTGGGGGCCTCTTGGGGGCCTCTTGGGGCCTCTTTTTGGGGCCTCTTGGGAGCCTCTTGGGGCCTCCTGGGGGCCCCTCGGGGCCGAGTGCTCGAAATGTCCGTTCGGGGGTTCCCCATGGAGCCGTCGTTGGGCCGCCTTGGGCGCCTCTTGGGCCGTCTTGGGGCCCTCTTGGGCCGTTTTGGGGTCCTCTTGGGGGCCTTTGGGGCCGTTTTGGGGCGATCTTGGGGGCTTCTTGGGCCATCTTGGAGAGTCGGGAAGCCGAAAACGTGAGAACGCCACAATTTTGCAAAAACGAATGGGAGCTCGAGGTCCACTTATGAGGCTTCTCTGGAGGTTTTGGAGGCTTCTTGGGCTGTCTTGGGGCGATCGTTCGGCGTCTCGGGGCCCTCTTGGATCGTCTTGGGGGCCTCTTGGGGCCCTCTGGGCTCGTGTCGGGGCCGTCTTGGGCACGAACCAGTCATGAGGGGAGATGCGCCGGATACGCGGCAAGCCTGGGTAGATTTGGCAATTTGGGCCCCGGACCCCTGAAGTATCTTCAGGATTGACGACCGAGGCTCAGGGGATGAGGCAAATGACCTGAGGACACGCCCACTCCGTGCCCAGAGGTACGGTGGCGGATTAGGGCACTGGCGGGTTCCTTCACCCTCAAGCGGAATTACGCTGGATGAGTGCGGGCGCCCAACTCGTGACCTAAAGTTGGGGGTGATGGATAGCAGCGGTTTCGTGAACGCTTGGATGAGGACCAGCCGATTCGTTTTCACCGAGAGACCGCGTCGCTGCGTATCACCCCCTTCTCACCCCAAAGCCAATCATGGATCTGATCGAATCCAGCCTGGGGGGTGGCATCCCTGAGCAGGGATGGAACATGCCAAAGCAGTGGTCATGCTAAAGAAGTGGCCCGCCGATGATATCGAGTAACGGCCAGTACATGGCAAAGGTAATGTTGCTTCGTCCCACCAGGCGCAGCATCGCCCTCAACTGTAAAGTTCATTTATCTTCAAGAGCAGGCCCTTGCACTATTGTCTGATTCTGGATATAGTTGATCCGATTGAATCGACCAGCAACGGGCTGCGTACATGTAAACTCCACGAGTCCGCAGCGTCTGTAGCTCTCGGCTTCGGTGCCCCGAGTCCCAATCCCGTGAGCTAGTCCTCTGTGTCATTCTAGTCTGGAGCACAGGTCCTCCTTGGGGCTCGGGCGGCAGCCGTGTCAGCACCAAAGCACAGGCTGGTTTCGAGGTCACCCGGGGGTCAACGAGACTGCCCCTCAGGTTGCGGCACTCGTGCAGAGCCAGAGGAATACAACCGGACAATCGGCATGAAGGCGGGCCCAATCTCCACGAGACGATGCTGCCCTGCAACGGGGCAGCCTGAGGCGACGGGCCTGGGCCGCCCTTGCCAGCCCGCGAAACGGCAAAGGTGGAGGGCGCGGCCTCAGCCGCCCCCACTGGTAGGGTTATGTCGGGCGTGTCCCCCTACAGGGGGATGTTCGACGAAAAAACAAAAATACCCCGAAAATGCTTCAAAAGGTCATAAAATGCTAAAAAAACAAAGTCCCCAGACTATCTTTGGAGCATTTTTTGATCATTTTTGGGGTATTGTTTTTTTTGTTCGTCGAAGCTCCCACTGTAGGGGGACAGGCCCGACTTGATGGTAGGGCCGCTGGGGCCCAAAAGAAGCCTCTGGGCAGTGCGGGCCGCACCGGCCGCGCCGTGCGGCGCAGCGCCCAGGGGGGCCGGAGGGGCCCAGCGCGGCGGCGGGCGGGCCCCGCACACGGCACCGCGCCGCGCCCTCGGATCGGGCGGCGGGTGCCGCCGCCTCGCGGATGCATTGGATCCTGCGGGCGGCGTCGCAGGCCCGACGAAGCCCACGCCGGGAGATCGAGCCGTTTCACTTGATCGCCCGCCGGAGGAGGAGGAGGAGGAGGAGGAGGAGGAGGAGGAGGAGGAGGAGGAGGTGGAGGAGGGAGGAGGAAGAGGAGGAGGAGGAGGAGGAGGAGGAGGAGGAGGAGGAGGAGGAGGAGGAGGAGAGGAGGAGGGGAGGAGGAGGAGGAGGAGGAGGAGGAGGAGGATGATAAGGAGGAGGAGGAGGAGGAGGAGGAGGAGGAGGAGGAGGAGGAGGAGGAGGAGGAGGGGAGGAGACAGAGGAGCAGGGGGAGGAGTGGGGGAGGTTGAGGGGGGAAGGGCCAGAGGGATCAGGAGGGTGTGAAGGTGGGGCAGGAGTAGGATGATGAGGGGGATGGAAGGGGAGAAGGACGAGGGGGTTGGGGGGGTGGGGAGGAAGATGATGAGGATGAGGGCGAGTCTGATGACGATGATGGTGATGGTGATGGTGATGGCGACGGTGATGATGATGATGATGATGATGATGATGATGATGATGATGATGATGATGATGATGACGATGGTGATGATGCTGATGCTGATGATGATGATGATGAAGATGATTATGCTGATGCTGATGCTGATGCTGCTGATGATGATGAGGATGAGGATGAGGAGGAGGATGATTATGAAGATGATGCTGCTGATGATGATGAGGAGGAGGAGGAAGAGGAGGAGGAGGAGGAGGAGGAGGAGGGAGATGATGAGGATGATGATGATGAGGAGGAGGAGGAGGATCAGGAGGAGGAGGAGGAGGAGGAGAAGGAGGAGAAGGAGGAGGAGGAGAGGGAGGAGGAGAAGGAGGAGGAGGAGGAGGAGAAGGAGGAGGAGGAGGCCAGAGAAGGCCGGTTGAGGCGGGATGAAGAGGAGGATGTCGTGCTGTCATTCTGAGGTTTGCTTAGTCTTTGGGCTGTCTGTCCTAGGGCAGCTGCCGGCTTCAGGCTCTGCGCCCTACCGCGGGGACAACCAGGTCCTGAAGCCACGGTCTTGACCTCGTCTTCGTCTCTCGTCCTCCTCCCCCTCCTCGTATTCCCCTCTCTTCTTACCGTCCTCCCCTTTCTCTCTATTGTCCTTCTTTTCCTTGGCCCCCGTCCTCCTCCCCCTCTCCCCCCCCTCCTTCTCCACCTCCTCTTCCTGCTCCTGCTGCGGCTCCTCCGCCTCTTCTCCTTCCTTCTCGTGTCCTCTCGCAGGAACAACCAGGTCCTGAAGCAGCTGGTCGAGTACGTCCAGCTGCTGAAGGAGCAGGCCCGCGGCGTACAATTCGTTCTGGCGGTGTGGAGAAAACCACAACGGACTTGCGCTGCCCCGTTACAGGCCTCGAGACCACTGCGGGTTGATTTGTACTTTATGTCTCGCGTGAAGCTGAGGCAGGTTTTTTTTGGGTGGGTCATCGCGATTTTCGGTTGCAGAGAGTCTGCACAACATAACATAGATGAGACGAGCAATGATCATTGAAGGATAGGAGGTCACCGCCGACCTACCAATACCGAAAGCCATCGGTGGACTCCAGGATCTTGGTGCTGCCTTCCTAAGACACATGCGACGCACCAGTGCCCCCCCCCCCGTCCCGAAACGACGGGCGGTGGGCCCTTGGGCCCTTCTCTTGGTACGGTCGGACCGAGGTATAAGACCGAGGTCTGCTCGGGGAGGTTGCCCTGGTGTTCTTAGGGTTTTTTTGTTGGATGCTCTGGTGCATCCTGGGGGAGGGCACCCTCGAGATGGTTTTTGGGGTGTTTTGGCTGACGGAGGGCCTAATGTTCTTGACGGTCGTTCTTGATGAAGAGGTGGCCTTGGCCCTGATGTCCTGGTCAGGTGCCAGGTCTGGCCATGGATGTCCTGGCCCTGGCTGTCCTGGCCCTGGATGTCCTGGCCCTGGATCCTGGCCAGGTGCTAGGTTTAAGTCGGGCATGTCCCTCTACAGGAGCAATGTTCAAGAATAGTTCAGATAGTCTGGTGACGATCGTTTGTGCTCCTTTGGCAATTTTTGATTATGCTGTGACTATTTTGAGTTTCTCTTACCCAAACCCGCCTGGTCCGACTGAAGTGGTTGCCCTGGTCCATGACGTCCCTCAAGATTGGCAGCTTAGGCCCGGAGGCCTCCTGGGCGGGCCAGACGACGCCCCAGGATAGATCCCCGAGTCTCCAGCACGGCCCTGCGGCCAAGACGCGGCCATTTGCTTGTTGTTTATATGTATCCCTCAGTACGTGAATGTATATATATCCCTGGGGGCGAGGCCGGGGGCCCCAGGACAGGTGCCCCGACCCCCCATGGGGGGACCGGGGCTCATTTTCCCTTTGTTTTTACAGGGTTTCCGCGTCCTGGGCCTCGGAGGCCGCCGCCTCCGACCTCCCATGGGAGGACGGGGCGGCCAGGGAGGTCCAAAATAGTCCAGGAGGGCCTCCAGAGGCCCCCAAGATGGCCCAAGCGGGCCCCGAGTCGCCGAAAGACCGCTCCAGGACGTCCAAGATAGGCCCAAGACGGCCCGAGAGGCCCCCCAAGGCACTCCACGCCGCGTCAAGACGCCTCTCCAGAGCGCTTCCAGAGGCCGCAATCGTCAATTGTACGAAGGTTTTCGAACCATTTTGGTCTTCCAGCCTTTTCGGCTGTCCGACGTTCCAAGACGGCTCAATAGGCTCCCAAGAGCGCCCCAAGACGGCCCAAGAGGGCTCCAAGACGGCCCCAGAGTCGCCTAAGACAGCCCAACAGAGCCCCAAGACGGCCCCAAGATGCGCCCAAGAGGGGGACCACGACTCCAAAATTCGACCCTCCCGCTTGAAGAGTGCCCCAGGAGGCCCCAAGGAGCCCCCAAGAGGCCCCAGGAGGCCCCCAAGAGGCACCCAGGAGGCCCGAACGAGGCCTAAAGAGGCCACAAGACAGCCCCGAGGAGGCCCCACAACGGTCCCAAAACGGCTACCGAGAAGCTGCGAAATTGCCAACCACGAGATCCAAACCAACACCCATGAGGCCTCTGACCCACTACCCAGGGCACGGTGGCGGGAGCAGTGACAGCACTTGTGCACAGCATGTTCCGGCGGGAGCCTTCTGGAACACTCTGCAGGAGGAGGAGGAGGAAGATCAGGAGGAGAGAGAGTTGGAGTGGGAGGAGGAGGATGGGGACGAGGAGTAGGAAGAGGCCTCCCAGACAGCTCCAAGATAGCCGAAGAGGCTTCCAAGATGGCCCTGGGCGGCCCACGAGGGTCCCAAGGCGGTGCCTGAGGCGCCCAAGACGTCCCGAGAGGGCCCCAAGACGGCCCCAAGAGGCCCAAGAAGGGAAACACGAACCGAGAATCCGAGCTTTCTACCCCGAGAGGTTCTCGGGAAGTCCCAAGAGGCCCCCAATCGGATCCAAGAGGCCCCCAAGAGGCTCCCAAGAGGGCCGACGAGGTTCCAAGAGATCTTCCAAGGTGGCCCCAAGAGGCACAACTCATAGTTTTACGATTGGGCTTTGACGGGTTTAAATTTTTTCGGCCTTTTGGCATCCCGATGCTCCAAGACGGCCCAAGAGGCTTCCAATACCGCTCCCATATAGAGGAAGAGGCCTCCAAGAAATCCCCAAGACGGCCCGCAAGGGCCCCAAGACGGTGCTTGAGGCGCCCAAGACGGCCCGAGAGGGCCCCAAGAACCCCAAGAGAGGCCCAAGAAGGGGAACGCGACCCAACAGCAGAGCGGTCCCCCCAAAAGGCCCACAGGAGGCCGCAAGAGGCCCCCAAGTGGTCCGACGAGGACCCCAAAAGCTTCCCGAGAGCCTAAAAGGCCCCTAGGAGACGTCCAAGAGGCTTTAAAATAGCCCAAGAGTGCCCTCGATGCGTCAAAACTGCTTCCAGGAGGCCCCCGGGAGGCTTCCGGATTGCCTCAATCTGGCCGCAGGTGGCCTCAAGTCGGGCTTCCACGCAGCCAAGACGGCCAATGAAAGCTTCAGATTGCAGAACCGATGCCCCCAAGGGACCCTCAGACGCCCCCCCAAGAAGCACCCAAGAGGTGCCTCCATCAGCCAGTTGACGAAGCATGCGGAACACCCCAGAAGCTCCTCAGATGCCGTCGCGCGCCTGTGCTTGATATCGTTGTCCAAGATCGTCCAGCGCCCCCCCGGCCTGGGCTAGAACCTGAGCGCGCGCGAAGCGCGCGCGATGGTTCTAGCCCAGGGGCCCGAAAACAGCTGCCCGACCCTCCAGTACCGGGGCTCATTTTCGCTGTGCTTTTACGCGGTTTCGGCGTCCGGGGCCTCGAAGGCCGCCGCGATGCTCCCGGACATTTTCCAGATACTCGGCGCGGGCTCCAAGACCATTCCGCAGAGGGCTCCAACAGGCTCCAGGGCAGCCCAAGAGGGCTCCAAGACGGCTCCAGGAACGACTGCAGGGTCTCAGTTTTTCTGTGTTTTCTGCAAGACGGCTCCAGGAAGACTGCATGTCTTATGAGGATGGCTTCCGCCTCTTGCCCCGAGCATCCCAAACTGCCTGAATGGTCTCCACTTGCCTTCCCCAAACCCAGCGCTTGCCCAAGCGCGTTCTGGACGGTCTTCGCCGGAACGCGCTGGAATGATCACGCGCTGCGGTTTCCCATGCCAACGTCCTCGGACGTGGGCGCCCTGCCACGAGCGCGTTCCGGGAAGATGCTCCCGGAACGCGCTGAAAAGATATGGCCACATCTCGGGGACGCTCCCGGCACCGCTGCCCCAGCCTTTCCGGCAGCCTCCACAGCGCTCCAGGAGGGCCCAAGACGCCCCCCAGGAGCCACAAGAATGCGAAAGGATGGCCCAAGACGCTCCCGAGCAGCCCAAGTCAGCCTTCCGACGGCTCTCGAGGCTTCCAGGTGGCCTCCAAGAGACCCCAAGAAGTCTGATAGGTATCACGGTACGGCCCGAAGAGGCCAAAGTCGTATATGTTCAATGGTCTTTTCAATGTTTTTGGCTTCTCGCGTTTTCGAGCTTCCAACGGTCCAAGAGCGCCGAAGAGCCGCCATGGGGGTACCGGGGCTCATTTTCCGTGTGGTTTTACAGGGTTTCCGCGTCCTGGGCCTCTGAGGCCGCCGCCTCCGACCCCCCATGGGAGGACGGGGCGGCCGGGGAGGTCCAAAATAGTCCAGGAGGGCCTCCAGAGGCTCCCAAGATGGCCCAAGCGGGCCCCGAGTCGCCGAAAGACCGCTCCAGGACGCCCAAAATAGGCCCAAGACGGCCCGAGAGGCTCCCCAAGGCACTCCACGACGCTTCAAGACGCCTCTCCAGAGCGCTTCCAGAAGCCGAAATCGTCAATTGTACGAAGGTTTTCGAACGATTTTGGCCTGCCAGCCTTTTCGGCTGTCCGACGTTCCAAGACGGCTCAATAGGCCCCCAAGGGCGCCCCAAGACGGCCCAAGAGGGCCCCAAGACGGCCCCAGAGTCGCCCAAGACAGCCCAACAGAGCCCCAAGACGGCCCCAAGATGCGCCCAAGAGGGGGACCACGACTCCAAAATTCGACCCTCCCGCTTGAAGAGTGCCCCAGGAGGCCCCAAGGAGCCCCCAAGAGGCCCCAGGAGGCCCCCAAGAGGCACCCAGGAGGCCCAAACGAGGCCTAAAGAGGCTACAAAACAGCCCCGAGGAGGCCCCACAACGGTCCCAAAACGGCTACCGAGAAGCTGCGAAACTGCCTTCACGACGTCCCCGACAGGCCAACCACGAGATCCACACCAACACCCATGAGGCCTCTGACCCACCACCCAGGGCACGGTGGCGGGAGCAGTGACAGCACTTGTGCACAGCATGTTCCGGCGGGAGCCTTCCGGAACACGCTGCAGGAGGAGGAGGAGGAGGAGGAGGAGGAAAATCAGGAGGAGAGAGAGTTGGAGTGGGATGAGGAGGAGGAGGAGGAGGAGGGGGACGAGGAGGAGGAAGAGGCCTCCCAGACAGCTCCAATATAGCCGAAGAGGCTTCCAAGAGCGCCCTGCGCGGCCCTCGAGGGCCCCAAGGCGGTGCCTGAGGCGCCCAAGACGGCCCGAGAGGGCCCCAAGACGGCCCCAAGAGAGGCCCAAGAAGGGAAACACGAACCGATAATCCGAGCTTTCTACCCCGAGAGGTTCTCGGGAAGTCCCGAGAGGCCCCCAATCGGATCCAAGAGGCCCCCAAGAAGCTCCCAAGAGGGCCGACGAGGTTCCAAGAGATCTCCCAAGGTGGCCCCAAGAGGCACAACTCATTGTTTTACGATTGGGCTTTGACGGGTTTTAATGTTTTCGGCCTTTTGGCATCCCGATGCTCCAAGACGGCCCAAGAGG